AGTAAAGCAATCTAAGCATAAATTTTACCTTATTATAATCAGAAGCATTACATATAAAATAATATTTAATTATTGGACAGTATAACAGGTTCATTAGCACCTAAAGGCAAATTGCGTATGATGCTACTATGTAACAAACATGATCTTGCTCATTTTGTTTTACAAGAAATGTACAGGAGAGCCCTGTTACAGGTCTTCTCAGCTGCTTCATTTGCAAACTGCCATATAGAGGTGAAGTCAATGGAATTTTTAATCTGGAAGGATTAAGAAATGAACTTTTTAAGTGCCCAACTTGATGGTGTGATACAATTACATAATTATAATAACCCGAAGTTATTAAGACCCACCATTGAATGCATTCAAGTGGAAGCTAGACAGCAGTTTGCCAGTGATATTTGAATATTGGTGCTGGATTCGTGGATTGGACATGATAGCCTAAATGTCGCAGCCCAACTGTAGATTTATGTAAAATGCAGAAAGTTCCTAGATCTTTATTCGGTATGAATCTGTTCAATAATTTATAATCCTCATTTAGTTTCAGAAGCCATCACCCTTACGTATGTCAAATAGTGAAAAGATCACCCAATGGATAGCAAGCAGTAGAGTAAGGAGTAGGCTTCCTTGAGATTTGTGTGAGTGTTAGATCAGACATCCCCAATCTTTTGAGCACCAGGAACCGGTTCTGTGGAGAGGTTTTTCTGCGGACCAGAGGGGGCGTGTTTTCATGTACTGTCTGCATCCCGTGGATGGGGGTTTGCTTGTTTGTGTGACCTGGTTTTTGGTATGCTGCGGCCTGGTCCCAGTCCATGGACCGGGATTTGGGGACCTGTGTTAGATTATAAGGAAAGTCATGAATACTTATTGGTAAATCTAGTTGGTTCTGGATCTCTCATCATATATCCCTGCCTCTTTTTTGTCAATATCTACATTGGCTGGATACCAAGAGCATTATCAGTTTAAATTGATGGCTGGTGCTTTAGAATTCCCCCCCCCCCACTTATTGCCTATTCTGTCGAATTAGTTGTAGCCCAAATTCAAACACTTAAAATACTTTTTGTTGGACCTTTATGAAGCTGGTTAAAGGTCATTGTCAATTAGTCATTGTCAATTTAATCTGAAGTAATGCTAGTATTGTTTGTATTATACTGCATTAGGAAATATCCAAGAATGCATTGTTTTACTGTGCATGCTTGATATTGTATACAGTTTTGAACCATCTACATTGCATTTAATTAGAAGTTAACACTAATCAGAAGTACTACTGCTACATTTCCACTGGATCCAGTCCAAATTAGAATCCAATCCAGGACCAGTATAAGAATAAATGGGAAAGGTCAAGTGCCCAATACATATTAAACATCAATGCTTCAACCTAAAATTAAAGTTATAACTGTAGCTTCAGAGTGCAGTGAGATTAGAAATCCAAAAAAGCATTCCTGAGGATGTATGATTGGATGGCATAGGTGATATTTTTTTCTTTTTTTTTCAGCATACAGGATCTGGTGACCAAGGAGGCGGGCAATCCCTCATGTCCCCTGGAAGCTGTCTGGAGGACTTCCGATCATCACCCTTTATTGAATGCCGGGGTCAGCCAGGAACATGTCATTTTTTTATTAATGAATACAGTTTCTGGCTAGTTACAGTGAACAATGAGACACAGTTTTCATCATCTCCTCTCTCAGGGACTATCAAAGATGAACAAGAACAACGGCGAAATATTGGCAGATGTCAGGTTTGCATGAAATATGCCTAGTGGACATTGAACCTTTTTTGAACAGAAATAAACCATTTTTTTCTCATCTCGGTGCTGTGTCATTATTACATCTACAAACTGACCAGCAATTATGAGTTGTAAAGGCATATTTAGATGGCAACCGGGAAGTAAAGAACTGCATAAATTAACTGCAGTAGATGAGAGATGAATACCAGCTTTGTAGTTCAATTGATTTTGCTCATTCATAATTTTATTTAGGTTTGGGGATCCAAGTGGTAGCATCATTGACTTATAACCATGGGGTGCAACTTACTCAAGGTCTTGCTTAGCAATGGAAATTTTGGGCTCAAAGGTGATCGTAAATCAAGGACTATGTGTAGTCAGTATTCTTTTTCTTAGAAATCATCTGTATCTGACCCGGACAAAGCAAAACCAAAGGTTTTCTGAGCAAAATGTGGCAGTGAGTTTGTTTAGACACAATAATTTGTTGTCCTCACCTTTTCATTTCATATTTTTTTAAAAAAATGGAGGTAGAGTTGCTTTCTGAGAAGCTCTAAAGCAGAAGTTAAAAGCTTACATTTTGATGACAAAATACCATATGATTAATTCAAGTGTAATTTTCAAGTTGTTTTTGAATTAATTCCGTAAAATGTTTTAGCTTTAGTTTTAACCATCTTAAGTAAAACTAGCAGACTCTCTGCAAACTATAATACAGTAGACAGCAATATCATCTCAGTATCAGGACATCTTAAAAACTGGACCTTTCTGGAAAAGTAACATTTTCATTTTGCAGTTACATGCCCAAAAATGTAAGCACTCCTGATTAAATTGTATGTTTCAATGGAACTGAATAGAAGCTGTTATCTTTACAACCCAAAGCATAATATTAACTCCTTCTGCAGGCTTGGTCTACATACTATTCAGGGCAGTTGTGGAAGTTAAGGCATCTTCCCAGTTCATATTTTATGACATCTATTCAGTGGAAACACCAGCTTCCAATGTTTCCTGTAACTAATTTAGAATCTTCCTGTTCCTTTTCTGGATTTTTTCCACTCCTACATAACTCTTCTACCTCAGAGCTCCAACCAATAGTATTCAGGAAAAAGCAAGTAATATATTTCTTTTAAAAACACAAATCCTACAGATTTCCCTTTATCTAGAAAGTGAAAGAGAATACTGAATAAACAATCTGATAAAATATGTGACACTACCCAAAGTTATTATGCAAGTGGGTGTTTATATAAATAAATATTGTTGCATCTTACATTTCTGCATATAAGAAGCAGGGCACAAAAGACTAAATGCCACAAAAAGACAAAATTTACATTGTCCTTCCATTCAGAAAGCAGAAATAACATTTAAATACTCATTTCTTTGTTTGCTTTTTTATTACACTGAAAAAATTCTGACTTCTAATAGTTTCTGTTTAAAATAAATATACATATAATACAGAATGAATCATATTAGTTTCTCAATTGATAACCTAGTTTTTCTTAAATGCATTAATTAAATAATGTATCATTGATTGTTAACAGTAATCTATTTAAGTGACTAAACTAGTAAATCAGAGAAACGCAGTGGACGCAATATATTTAGATTTCAGTAAGGCATTTGACAAAATAGACCACAACCTACTAATTGGCAAGCTAGAAAAAGGTGGAATAGACAACATCACTACCAGATGGATCTGTAGCTGGATGACAAACCGTACTCAACGAATAGTCCTCAATGGCACTACATCCACATGGAGAGAATAAGCAGCGGGGTACCACAGGGTTCCAGCTTAGGCCCAGTACTCTTCAATATTTTCATCAATGACTTAGATGAGGGAATTGAAGGGGAACTCGTCAAATTTGCAGATGACACCAAACTGTCAGGAGTAGCCAACACCCCAGAAGACAAACTCAGGATCCAAAAAGATCTTGACAAACTTGAACAATGGGCCCTATCCAACAAAATGAGTTTCAACGTGGAGAAAAGCAAAGTCCTACACTTAGGAAGGAAAAACCAAAGGCACGAATAAAGATTGGGCGAGATCTGGCTTAAAAACAGTAACTGTGAGAGGGACCTTGGAGTCCTAGTGGACAATCACTTGATTATGAGCTAGCAATGTGCAGCAGCAACCAAAAAAACTAATACAATCCTGGGTTGTATAAACAGATCAAGATCACATGAAGTACTAGTACCGCTTTACAAAGCCCTAGTAAGACCACACCTGAAAATTTTTAAGAAGAGACTAGACAATCACTGAGATGGTGTAGGTTCTCCTGCTTAAGCGGGGAACTGGACTAGAAGACCTCCAAGGTCCCTTCCAGCTCTATTCTGTTCTATTCATAGAACTTTCATGTGACATTTTATAACATTATTCAATCCATAAATAGAATATTGCAATATCTGGGAATTTTTTTCCACTGAGAATAAATCTTTTCCTAACAGTCGCTCTGGGTGAGGTTGTAGGTAGGGAGGAATAAATTCCTGAACCTTATTTTGCAAAACAGTAGCAATAAGGAAAAAACTTGTATTTCACAACAAATGTAAAAAAAAAAATCCTGCATATTGTTTTCATGTAAAATGGAGTCAACCTGGATGTTTGTGCATTTTTGGCTACTCATATTTTGACAATTTATTCTAGCCCTATATACCAATATCATGAAAAATATGTTGTTCCCATGGTAACTTCAACAATCAGTTATTTAAGTACTATCTTCTACTTTAAATACAAAATATTTCATGGCTGTTTTACAATTTAACTTCAAACTAAAAATCTAACAATACTCAATATATTTCCTATTTTATACTTAAAATTAAAATTCATCTTAATTAGGGTTCAAGGGTTCTTAAATAATTGTATTGCTTTTAAACTAATACAATTTGAGTTTTTAACATTTATTTTAAAATAATTTTTATCTGATGTTAAAATATTCATCTAGAAACACAATGAACACTTGGAAGCATTGGGGAAGTTCATTCAAATCCCATTGCTTCTCTGTAGGATGGTCCTCCATGTCTGTGAGTCCAAAGCTCACTGCCAAATAATAGGCCATCTTTGCATATCGTTGAAGCATATTGTGGAAGAACCATGAACAGTTCTGGTTCTGATCTGAAGCTCAAAATCAGCATGAGATCACTGTCTTAGTCAAGACAGTAAATAAGATGTAAATAACCAAGTTGCAACAACAGAGCTCATTTGCAGCCCACTGATTGTTCATTAACAAAGTATGGAGACAACAGTATTATGAGCACTGAAAATATAAAAATACCAAAAATATTCAAGAAACTTAAAATATGATTTTTAATATACACTTTATTGGGGAAGGCACTGAGTGATCCTAAGTAGAAAATGTTACAATGGTTTAAGAAAAAAAAAATACTTGATATAAACTGAAATGTGAAGTGTGGAGAGTTTTTTTATCAGAACAAGTTAAATCACAAACGAGTGATGATAAATATTACATGGAATATTTTATAGCTGTGGCAGAACTTCCGATTTGCTTTTTTCCCTCTTCCACAAAATATTAGTTTCTCTATTTTGGGAAGGCCATGAGGAATATTCCAGGGGAAGTAAGTAAGATATGGGATGGATATCGAAATAATTTATATTTACAAATTCATAATAACTAAAAATGTAGTAAGTTATACTGATGTTTCTTATAAAAAAAGTTAATAAGGCTTAATGGGCTGCACCCAAATTAACGTGAATTCCAAAATCTACTTCAAATGAGACTGAAGGAAGAATTCAAAGTTTGAAAACTTTGGTTTCTTTAACATAATAAAAAAATACAAATACATCTTGTATACAAAAATAATTAGCTAGCTACAATTATAGCTACATGTTCATGTTATGCAGTTACTTTTTCATCCATACTAAAATTGTAGGATGTTGTCACATTCTAAATGTGCAACTTGCAGAAAAGCATTTCCACAGTAGATCATTGTATTCTTCAATTTCAGTAGTTATTTTTGCATGGAGATCATAAAAGTGCTGTAATCGTGGGTCATGTGTTTCAACAACCTGACCAAATCTATTTTTAATTCTAATCTTTATTCTGAAAACTTTTATTCAAGTTAGTAAAGTTTACAGAATAACAAAATTCTTAAGATACCAAAAGCAATTCATTGAAAAGAATTAATATATATAAGGTAGCTATAGAATTTTAGATAGTATGGTGAATTATTCAAGATGTTTAGTTTTTGAAGAAAGTTTTTGCATTTCAGTTTTAAATCTGGTAGTCCACGTGCCAAGCAGGTGTCTTTCCCACTCACAGATAGCTTCAGATAGCCTCCATGAAACATATTTCGTGAAATAGAAATGGCTTCAATGAACAATATCCACCATGTCTTGACAGCTATGAAGAGCCCTTTATATCCATACTTTAGACTACTGCCACCTCTCAAACCTATTAAGTCTCTGCCTTCTGAGTTCCTCAGCTGATAATTCTTCAGGTGAAAGCCAGAAGCCATATGGCCTCCTTTCGCTACTGTAATGCCTTGTATTGCTTCCTGTAAGGAAAAAAAAATGTCAAAGACAAATTTAATATACATTCTTCTAACATTGTATCAAACACATTTATTTTTATAATTAATATATTAAACTGAGAAGTACATAGGTTTTATCACTTGAAATGAAATGTGAACATGTAACTCTTTTAGAATCCTTTTACAATATGATCTACACTGATTTGAAACTTCCAGTCCTTGGATATAATCCAAAACCTATGCATATAGTGAAACATCTACACACAGTGCTTTTCTTCTGTATTCAGAAAGACCTGAAGAAGCCCAATAAGAGACTGTGTTGTCAGGAATAATATTTTTCTATTGTTTTAAGACCTTTCCATGGGGAACAATGAAACTGATTTTTTTGATCATACAAGTTTATTTTTGGTTGTTATTTGAAAAAAAGAAATGAACAGAAATTGCTAACTAAATTGCAATGATAGGTCATAGTTAGCACAATTCAATAACAAGCACCCCAAAAATAGTATAAAGAACTTGCAAGGAAAATAAAGCTGCTCAATTATTGTGGTTAATAAATGTAAAAACAGCTGTACATAGGAACAACCCATACAGTAGATTAAATATTGGGTTTTTGCTTGGACTTTGGTGGCTTTAAAAAGGACCATTTGAATTTTTGGAAGGTACAACTAATTGAAAGACCTAACAAGGAAGCTAAACTACTTCCTTCAATAGCAAATTCTGGGGATAAAACAGCAGTGAGAACTGCTATCATTATGCACTCCATTTTAAGCACTTCTAAATTCTAAGATTTGGAAGTCAAAATGCATAAGAATGCTAGGTTAGGGAAGACCGAATTATGTATTTCTCTAGCCTCTCAAATGCTATTGGAAATGGAGTGCTACACAGTGTTATCCTTTTAACAATTGTCATGTATATTATTATTATTATTATTATTTATTTCTGAGACTTATATACCGCTTTAAGTACAAGCACTCTCTAAGCGGTGTACACCAGTAAGCAATGTATATATATATATTTACATTGCCCCCAACAATCTGGGTCCTCATTTTACCTACCCAGGAAGGATGGAAGGCTGAGTCAACCTTGAGCCGGTGAGATTTGAACCGCTGACCTGCTGAACACAGTCAGCTAAAGTGGCAATTAGATGAGTTACCCTACTGTGGTCATCTTATGTTTCCTACAGCTGCTATTTAAACTAAACTTAAACATTAAAGCCAGAAGTTATACCTTTAAGAAAGTGTTAAGGTGTCCTTAACATTTACTAACAACACCTTAGCACTTTCTTAAAGGTGTATAACTTCTGGCTTTAATGTTCCCAGAATGGGTTTCAATGCAACCAGTCTTGAAAAAAGAACACAATATGCAACGTAAGAAATTGAAATAGTGACCGTTCACTTTTTTTTCCTGGTGATTGAATTCACTTTCTTTGATGTCAGAGGCCTGAAAAAATACAGGTCAAAGTAAAGTTTTCTTCCTTTGGGTCTTTCTTCCTTGGAGATAAAAAAAAAAAAACCAATGCTTCCTGATTATTTATATTGTCACTGTTTTCATTATATAGAGAGCCCTTTCGAAACTGGTATTATCCAGGACTAATTAAACAGCAACCCTCAACAGTTTCATCCAGCACACTGATAAAAGATGTACTTGTAGCAGTGTACTGGACTTTGATGATTGGGACAAACAATTACCTCTTAATGGCAATAATGCTGACCATAATGTGGAAGCAAAAATGGAGAACATATGAAGATGTCACTCATCACCAGTAACTATCTCAGAACTATTCTAATTTTTTTTCAAGAGAATGAAATTGTGCTTCTGAGTAAATAAAAAAACCTAGCATACATTTAGTATTTGAGGGGCTGCCACAAAGAAGAGGGGGTCACACTATTTACCAGAGCACCAGAGAGAAGGACGAGAAACAATGGTTGGAAGCGAGAAGCAACCTGGAATTAAGAAGAAACTTCCTGACAGTCAGGACAATCATCCAGTGGAACATCTTGCCTCTAGAAATCATGGGCGCGCCATCACTGGAGATTTTTAAAAAGAGGCTAGACAGTCACTTGTATGAGATGGTATAGGTTCTCCTGCTTGAGCAGGGGGCTGGACTAGAAGACCTCCAAAGTCCTGCTCTGCTCTGCTCTGCTCTATTCTATTCTAGTTTATATGAGACATTTTTATAGCTTTTAAACAAATTAACAGTTATTGTTCCAGTAATCAGGAATTCTATCTCAGGTCCTGCTTCACCTCTTCCAGCAGATGTCTCCAAAGATTCACAGGCAGCACATTAGAGAAAGTAGGCCAAACCCCAGTCAACAAAACATTTCGCATAGTAAGCAGAATTAGGGCTATTTTGAAACAGATGGGGTCTACAGAAGCTGTAACTCTATTATAGACTTGTTTATTGTCTGCCTTATTTGAAGCCCAGGGATTATTTGCAAGTATCTAGCATTTTCTGTGTCACTCTGGATTTCATCTGAGGCAGAATAGAGTGAAAAGGATGACTACACACATACGCAGACACACAGAGAGACACTTTTTATACTAATCCACTATTGAATTCACAATTTAAACATGCTATTATGTGGTTTATGCAGCAAAGGATTTTTCTGGAAAGATCAGCAATGTAACAAACATCCTAACTCTGATTCATAATAGGATTTAGTCAGCTTGAAAAAGCACAGAAACATACTTTTAACTTTGCAATCTGGAAATGGAATATATTTACAAATGATTGACAATTTAAATTAAGAATTTTAAAATAAATGGATGGCTTAAAAAGATCTCCTGGGTATTCTCAAAAATTGTAGGGTATGGTATTCCTAGAAAGGTTTTCCCAATCTGGAACTCTTTGGATGTTAGTCAAAAAATATCTGAAAGGCACTCAGAAGAGACTGTTGTATAGTTACCATGCATATCCATCCTGATTAAGAATGAGAATTTGAAAAAATAAAATATTTTATAGCTCAAAATGTACTAACCTTTTTTCATTTTAAAGGATAGTAGCAAAATAACAAAATATTAAACACATAGAATGTACGCATTGCAAGTAAAGGAGCTAATACGTGTCCAAGTTTTAATGCAATCTGGATAGGAGTTAACTGAAGTGCAAATCTCCATAAGTAAGTTATAATCATTGAAGGAACAGAGAGAATGTGTGTCTTCTCTCTTCCATAGAGCTTATGTTATGCAATAGTGTCTTCCTTGAGATTTAGAGATCCCCAATTTTGCCTTGTGACCTGACTTTCTCCCTGGGCATTAGGACAAGTTTGTGAATTTGTTAGATAGTGCCTTGGTATTTTACTTTGGAGTATTTTAACTTTTTTGTGTGTGTAAACTAGTGCTAACTATCAAGGGTTACTTTTTTAAGATGGGTGGCCATATACATTTTCTTAATAAATGAATATATTTTAAAAAGGATGCTTCAATAGCAAGAACTAGCAACATTAAGACACATGTAAGAGCAGTTATCTTAAGTCTTGTGACTGTCAGGTATACTGGAACTGCCATTTCCAAAATTTCTAGCCAGTGTAAGGAATAATGTTTGAAATATTGGAAACCTAGAGTCTGTTGGATTGTGAAAAAATACAGCAACTTTGTTCTTAAAGAAGAAACTGATCTGACAAGAATGAAAAGCCAAACCATAGATGCAAAATAAAGCCAAGAAAATGTTTATATACAACAAAAGCCTCTCTCCTCTCTCTTTCTCTCTCTTTCTTTCCCCCCCCCCCTCTCTCTTTTTCTTTGCTTGGGCATATAATTTTAAATACTTTTTATAATTTTTGATAATTCAGTTGAGCTTCAGCAGATTGTAGCAGCTGGCTGACTTCATCTAAATTTGAAAGTTAGGAAGAGTTCAGCCTAACTTTGAATGTTACTTCCAAGGAATACCAGGGCTATAGGCTAGATAGGGAAGTTGAAAAAAATAGCTTGCAGAAAGGCAATGGCAAATCACTTCTATATTCCTGACAAAAGCTCCACAAAGTAAGCTTTGAAATCACCAGGAATTAAGTTCAACTTGCATTACTTGCAATACCAAGACATTATTTCATTTGCCCAAATTCAGAAAGGTCCTCTGAATATACTGAAAAGAATACATGACCACTCTTTTGGAAGGGCAGTTGGGTGCAAGTCAGAAGAAGAAAAAGGCAAAAGAAATGAAAAGATGCATTTATGCATCGGGCAGTGGAGGAAACAGGACATAGAATACACATTCAAACTACAGTATCTACTCTTTGCTGTATTTATTGCGCCCGCCCACTTACTTTTTCCCTCACAGGCTTCAATATCATCCTATTTTAAAATGAAAACCTAAATTACTGATTTTGGGAAATATCATCTCTTTGCCCAGAAGGAATACAAGGATATGCAGGATGCACAAATAAATGGCTGATGTGAGCACAGAGGGGCTGGAGGGTGGGGGAATTTTACAACTTGTGACCTTCCCTTCCCACTGACTTTCTGGTGAAGCTGACAGGAAAGGTTGCAAAGGACAATCATGTGATTGCGACTATATATTAAAGCAAGTTTTAAGAGTCTTCATAAGGAACAATAAGCTCTGAATAAGACATATACTTAAATTATCAGCAGTAAAGTTTCTACAGATTTAAACTGCTCTTAGGAGCTTTTAGGTTTTTCTAATACAACATTTTTCTAATACAAAATTACATAACTTCTTGTCACACACTATTATAATCATTTTAGTAGAGAATATCATTTTATTTATCAGTTCTTTGACAACACTACTGATCTAGGCCTTAGTAGTTTTATTACATGGGACAGGAAATGGAACACAACCTACCAGGAGATGGTACTTAAGTGTTTTTCTAATTAGAGCTTTTCTAAGACAGGGCTTTTCAACCAGTGGTACGGGTACCACCTGTGGTACATTGGCACCTGGCAGGTGGTACGTGAGCATCCTAGAAAAGTGGTAGCGGGGGAGGGGAATGAGCTGAACCGGTGGCAGCACTGCACAAGCCTGAGCGAGAGATGGCTGGAGCTGCAGGGCTGTCAGGGCTCAGCGGAAGCACCAGGATCTGCACTTCTTCGGGGCTGTCAGAGCTCAGTGGAAGCACCAGGATCAGCGCCAGGCTTCAGCTGGAGCTCGGCGCTGATTCTGGCGCTTCTGCTGAGCCCAGAAGAAGCGCCGATCAGCTGGAATGTTGCAGCATCTCCACGGTCTTGTGATTTACATTCAGATGCTTGGCAACTGATTCATATTTATGACGGTCACAGTGTCCCAGGATCATGTGAAGTGACCAAAACCTGCTGCAACCACCCAGCAGATGGGGGAATGAAAACCAAACACCTCCCACCCCGCTGCCAATCCTCAACAGAAATGCTCACAACAATGAAAATCTCGGACAGGAGGAAGAGCACCGCCGGGTAGGCAGGCAAGTGTCTTGCTCGGCTGTGGCTTGGGGGGCACTTTTTTCAGTGCCATTGTAACTTTGAACAGTCACTAAGCGAACTGTTGTAAGTCAAGGACTACCTGTACTTTATCACTTTTTTCCTTTTTTTTCTTTTTGGTCATCAGGTTTTTGACATCTTGCTAGGCAACTGGTGGTACTCGGATATTGCTATATCCTAAAAGTGATACAATGGGTGAAAAGGTTGAAAAGCCCTGTTCTAAGTCATAGGCAGGTTTTTGCCTCATCAAAGAATGCACGTGTTTTTATATGTTGTTCTATACATTTTTCTATAATTTCTAAAAGTATTTTTGGCATTGGGTGGGCACTTGTACATCAATGTATCTCATCACATAATCTAATAGATGGTTATGACAACCATAATAAAATATTTTCATTGCCAATTCAAAGTAAAGTTCATATTTCCAGTAATTAATTAAAGATTTTACAGCTCAACATAGTAAGAAAACCTGCCAAACTAGTTTGCTTTCAAGCTATAGTGGCCTTAAAGAGTGTGCTGTGGATAACATTTATTCTATCAATAAAAAGCAAACTTCCAAAAAAAGTATTATCTGCACTCATAATACCAGGAAGTATGAAAACTTTGTGTTACAAAACATTTGGGAGGAAGGAACCAAAAGTATGAGAATATAGTATTTTCACTTGTAACTGAAAAATTAAATACTATTTAAAATTTTAATGTTTATGTTTCTTATTCTAGATATAGTAATATTAAGAATTATTAAAAAGAATAATATCAGATGCTGTTTTATGCTTTCTCACATTATTTTTAAAACTTTTTTCACTGGAGCTGCTGCACTGAAGCAATACCTCAGACTTTTTCGCTGTCTTCGACATTTTATATTATGTGGTTGAAATGATTACATAGTGTTTTGCTATCCTTAATTGATTTTGCAAGATGCATCATGATGAAGAGGTAAATATATTTTTGTTTTTGAACATATTTTAATAATAGAGTATCAGTTAATTATAACTATTATGACTCCGGGTATCTTTACCAAACAAAGTCTAACAAGGTGAAGAATGAAGTATTATTCCTATCTGGTACAAAATTTCAAGAATGTAAGTAAATATCTTGTTCTATTTATACATACAAACTCTTAAAGTTGTGTCTCCATAGTTAGGGTGTTCAGCATTCAGCTGTTTCTAGTTATTTGTTTGTACTGACTTGAGATACCATAATTATGACATCTTTTTTCTTAATGATTACAATACATATTATTAGTATCTCAATTTTCTGACTTTCTGTGGTAATTTTCTTGCACGAAATAAACTAACACAGCTGTGGCTTTGTAAACAGTAGCCAATCATAAGTCACTGTATTTCCTGGGAACACAAATTAATGAGCATCCAGAGCTATTTAAAACCTTTATTGAACACAATGTAAGAGGCAGCACTTGGCACTTCCTACATCCTGGCCAAGAACTGAAGGATATGCACAAGTTTTAAATACTTGCATTCTATTAGGAGAAAAACAGAGAGAGTACAATCAGCTATTGAAATGGGAATGTCCTGAGTTATGCAGAAAAGAAATGTTTTCAGTGGGATATAAAAAAGGGGGACAGTTGACCCTTGAATTGATTTAAGCAGCCACAAATGCAGTCCACATGCAAATTAAAACTTCCAGACATATACGTAAAACTGATGCATGTGTTATTATTTCAGAGAGTCTGAGCACACAACTGCAGTTATAATCAAATATGATACAAACAGCAGAGTAGAGGAAAACAAGATTCCACTTTTCCTTCTGAATAGAAAACCTCATCTATAGAAGAATAAAGATTTTGCCATTACTGCTAATGCTACATGGTCAATATGAGTAACAAGAACTGTGTGTAGATATCTGCAAAGCACATAAACTGTTAGGTCTGAAATGGATGGGCAACACAATAGCAGAAGCTTCTTGCCCAGATGTCAGGCAAACCACCACTGGAAAGTGATTTCTTAAGTTATCTTTTCTAGCCCCACATCTCAAGCAAGAATCCCTTCTCCTCATTGATCATATTACTATTGTCATCTCTTACTCAACTCTGAATAAGGCAAAGATTTTTAACTAAAGTCTTGCTTTAGGTCAGTGTTTCTCAACCTTGACAATTTTAAGGCATGTGGACTTCAACTCCCAGAATTCCACAGCCAGCAATGCTGGCTGTGGAATTCTGGGAGTTGAAGTCCACATGCCTTAAAATTGTCAAGGTTGAGAAACACTGCTTTAGGTGCTCATTTATCCATCTGCGGGAGGCAAAGACATCAGCCAAAACCCCTTTTGTAGATATAAAACAAATGAAGTATATATTATCTCAACATATGAAATCAGTTAAAGAACTAATAACTATATTCAAGGCTGTCAAATTGTTCTGATGTCCAGGCAGCAGTGGATGGTGATCTCTCTCAAGTAATGCACTATTGACAGACTGTATCAACATTGGGACTAACAGATCTGAATTTCTATGTCTCTTTATTTATTTGTAAAATTTATTCTCTACCCATCTTAACTATTGTAACTCTGGGCAGCTGATAATCTAAAAAGATAAAAACTATACCAAAACTAAAAGACACAAATAAAATACTATGAAAAAACCAAATACTGCAGCCCAATTAAAAGATGGGGAGGGCAGGAGCACGATGGGAGAAGGTAGGATATGTTGTTAAACTATCAACCGCTTCCACTGTGATACTCCCCCATTGGAGCCCAAGCTAATTGGCAGATGCAAATCTTTAGACTCTTACAGAAGAATCAGGAGAGTTGGAGATGACCTCATTCCAGGGGGCAAGATGTTCCAAAGGGCAGGCGCAACAGCAAAGAACATCCTTCTCTTGGACCCTACTGGCTGGAATACCCAGGCTGATGACACCTGCAGCATGCCTCCTCTGCTGTCATGGGTGGAGCGGGCCAATCCTATTGGGATGAGATGGTCCCTCATAGCCTGGACACATGCCATGAAGGCCTTTAAAGGTGATTACCAACACCTTAAACTGCTCCCAGAAGCAGACTGGCAGCCAATGCAGCTCACAGAGCAGTGGTGTTACATGGGCCACTCTTGGGGCCCCATGCTGCAATTCTTTGCTGTTATTTGGCAAATGCCCTCTTAAGTAGGCACCAAGATTATCTTTAATGATTATCCCCAGCCCCCATTTCCATGTCCACCCACTCTGTGACTCTGAGCAAATTACCAAGACTCCTCCATAAGAGTACACAGTGAGGCAGCAGGGCATGGCCAAATTTTCAAGTCTTAAGGCAGCTGCCTTGATGGTGTGTATGTTACTGATGAAGATAATGTGTTACTTATATAGAGAGATTCTAAGCTCTGTGCAGATGACATTTCTTGCAGTCCAAAGCTCTTGGTAAAGACACTTTTCTGGCTGCCCACTGCGTGGAATACATCACAGAAATAATTCAGCCTGGATTAGAAGCTTTTTAACAGCTGTCCCATATCCATATAAAAGAGTGGATCAAGTTTTCAGGGGTTCTCTGGTATTATTTTGATGAACTTTTGAATAAGGAGCAATAAGAACTTACATCCATGGAAGGAAATGGATAGTCTCAGTTTTAAGAGAAAAAGAAAAGTTATTTTTTAAATATGGTTCTCATCCTAAAAAAGAGAAATGCATTTATTTTATGACATGTCATTCATATGTCATACAGCTATTTTGCCTTACCTCTTTCTCTCAAGCTGTTACTTACTGCTCTTTCAAACTGTTCTTCCTCAGCGAGTCCACCAGTATACATATCGTAGTTGTTTGGTGGATAGGATGGATTACCTGAGTATCTAAAATTCCCTGTACAGAAAGAGATCACAGACATAAATGCCTAGCATAATCTTGTTTTAAAGGCAAACTGTTGTGATGATTAGGTATCACTGATTCCCAATCATCTGTAGCAATGTCATTACAAAATGGAAACAATTGTATCATTGCATAATAATATCATTATAAATATTATAAAATTACTACATTTACATTAAAGTAAAGTAACATAAATGCAATAGGAATCATTTTCACCTGATGTCTTTTTCACTGAAATCTGTCAAGCTGATATTTCAGTGTATAACACATCAATATTCTATTCAATTTTACCATCTTTTGCCTCATAATTAATATGAAATAAATTTGAAGCACAGAACTATATATTAGTAACAAGCAACATAAAATGCATGTAAAATATGTGCCTTGTAATAAATAATAGTGTCTTATGCTACGAAGATTTACTTCTATAATGTAAATATAGGCTTCTATGATTGATATAACTGGATTATAATTCCCTCCGTCTCCAGACAGCACATATGAAAGATAATTGATTGGGAATATTGTTAACCATCTTGTTTTGGATTAGAAAGCTATTGCCGTTAAAAAAAAAACTAGTATGTGCCTATCTCCTCAAAAGTACAAAAACTACTGGCCTGACTGAGAATACTAAAAACAGCTTTTCTGAAAACAGACTCTTTGAATTGAGATTCTCTCTGAATTGAGAATTTAACGTCATACAGTATAAGAAGCATTTGTGGAGCTCAATAAACAAACCTGGATTGCTATCTGTTGAAAGGTTAAATTCAGCCCTTTCCCCTCCCCAGTCCTATTTCTTTACCAACAGTTCTTTTTTGAATTTCTTTTAAAATCTGTATGGATGCTCTGCTTGATCAAGTTAAGAGTCGTGTAAGAAACTTTTTAAGTTTTCTGATATACAGAGGAAGAGCAACAAATGTCAATATGAACAAGTATTCAATCCTATGGAATATATTTCCTGAAATATTGAGATATTAAAGAATGATATGAACAGAATTGTGAATATTAAATAATATTAAAACTGTAATAGAGAAGAAATAAGATGTGACAGAATTAATTAACAAATGACAGAATTAATCTATACCGACTGGCACAAGGTAAAAGCTATTATGTACAATTTTGTGTAGAATTTTCTCTGAGATAAAAACTAGAAGATTATAATTCAAATTACTCGCCTGTTCTGTAGTTGTTTCTTTGTTCTGAATAGCCACCTAGAAATAAAATCATGAGTATTTATAAACATGTAAAATATCATAGTATTATTAAAGATATTTTCCTGTAACAGCATATGTGAATAGATATACAGGTAGTCCTTGGGTTACGAGTGCAATGGAGCCTGCCCATTCCACTTGTAACTCAAAAATTCGTGGGAGTGAATCTCGTACCTCAAACGAGATCACACCCTTGGTTGTTAAGACACACATGGCTTGTTAAGTGAACATGAGGTAACTCAGGGTGGGAAAGGCCATGGAGGGCCACTAAGATACCTCATGCTTTCCCCTCCCTTTCTGCCATGCCGGAGTCACTTACCTTGCAAAATCTGTCTCCCCTCTGCCACAGTTTCTTTCCCTTTGAGGGAAAGGAGAGTCGGCTTGGAAATGCTTTTTGTGCCAACAATGGAAGCTCCTTGGTGCCGTAATATTGTGCAAATTCAAACACAAATTCTCTGCAAAAGAGATCATGGCCCCAGAAGCTTCCATTCTAGGGTAGAGTGGGGGTGAGGATTTGGCATTGTGGATGCCCTAGGGTGGGGTGGGGGTTAGGATTTGGCATTGTGATTTGTGGAGTGTTTGTGCTCCGGTGGAGCTGTGGAGCTATTCAAAACACAGGGATTCCCTGCGCTTTGAAGCACCTTGTGTGACTGCACGGAAAGGAACGGTCCATTTCTGAAGCACTCCATTAGCAATCACACAGAACTTCCACTCTCAGCTCTCCTTTGGATAAAAAAGTGTTTGAGTGGCAGCGGCTTGAATTTCTCCGCTCTGTCCGAGTGGAAAGAAGAGGCAGTGCAGAGCAGGACTGCTCTCAATAAGGCCGATGCGCATGAGTGAGCAGTGTACCCGCGTCTTGAGAGCAATCCTGCTCTGCGCCTCTGCTTTTCTTCTTTTGGACTGAGCAGAGAAATTAAAGCTGCTGCTGCCACTTGAGTGACAAGGACAACAAGGAGAAGAGCAGTCAGGATTTGTGCCATAGTCCAGTCAGACAAGGAATAGGTTGGGCGGGGTGGGTGGCTGGCTCAGGAGGGAGGGAAGATCATGACTGCTCAGGTGCCTGTTTCCACTGCCTCTGCCAGCAGTGTGGATGCAGGTGCAAGAGGATGCCTCCCGCTCAGTTGAAGGCTTCATTCCTGCCCTCAAACTAAGGCCAGTGCATGCGAGCACACCCAGGCCACAAACGGCATTCGTTTCTGCAGCCAGCCAACTCTGATTCCACACTTTGCCCCATAGGCATGCAAATGAAGCAAACCCTCCCCCCTCATGGAAGCTTCTGGGGGCCATGATCTCTTTGGCAGAAAATTTGTGTTTGAACTTGCACAACATTACGGCACCCAGGAGCTTTATTGTCAGCACAAAAAGCATTTACATATCCTTTCCCTCAAAGTGAAAGAAACTGCGGCAGAGGGCAGACAGATTTTGCATGGTAAGTGACTCCAGTGCAGCAGGGAGGGAGGGGGAAGCAGTTGTGGGGAGCGGGGGGAATAGGGTGAATATTGCAGAGCCTCTGCGATCGCTCGTAAGGGTGAATGGCTGCCGTGGTACTGCAATATTCGTAATTTTGGGAGTTGCTTGTAAATACAAGGGGGTGCTGATTGCATAACTTCAAAGGAGCATTAAGTGAATGCTCGTAACTCGAGGATTATCTGTACAGCAATCAATAACTGTTGGGATATACATTTATTTTATTTCGTATCTGGCTTTTTAATTCTGGAATTGTACTGATTCCAGAATTAAAATAACACAATAAAGAATTAGTGGTGGTAACATTTGAAATGAACTGTGGAAAACTTCTCATGGCTATTGAGAATAATATTAATTCAAGCTTGCTCAGCAGGACAATTCTCAGAAGGACATCTAATTCACAAGTTGTTTGCATTTAAAAATGTGTAATTTGCTTCTGAACTGTTCAAAAGAACATCACATGCAAGAAAACATTCTTCAAAGGAGCTCATTGGGTAGATTACAGGTAGCCCTCAACTTATGATCTATTGTTTAACAACTGTTCAAAGTTACAACAGACCAAAAAACAGCTACTTATGACCCATTCCGAAAGCTAAAACTGGTACAAGTCACATGACTGCTATTTGCTACTTTTTTGCCATTTTCCAAGAGAAAACAGCAAAAAAATGTCAATTGGACATGCTGGATTTACTTGCCATGTAATTTGCTTAATGACCAGGATTACTCACTTTATGACCACCCTAAATACAATAATAAAACTGAAACTGGTGCCTTGAATTACAATCACAGTTCTGGACTTCACTGTAGTTGTAAGTCAAGAATTAGCTCTATGAAAAATCATTTATAGCAGTCACTACTATCATGGGCACAGCCAGTGGCACACCTTCATTAACAAATGACTTAAGAACAATCTAATTCTTTTTCTTTCTTCGTCCTATAAGTAAAGTAAAGAACTTATAATACATTATTTGATCATCAAATGTATTCGTGTTTATTTACACCAATTTGTACGCCATCCACTCAACACATAGTAGATAGCTATGTGCATTAAAATAAAAATCAATATTACATCAAACTTAATTTAATCAGAAATTTAAAGAAATATCAAATCATATATACAGCAATGTAAGCACCATATGATATGATTCTGAAGTTATGAAGTACAACTTATAATCACTTTAAAGTTATATTGAACAGCAATGCTTGGGAAGTTCTAAGATCATTATTACCTGCACATGCTGTCATGAACATCTTCAGAGGTCCCATGGTGTACATTAGGCCAACAAGAATTCCTGCCAGATGTCCTGCAAAAGAACTCCTAAAATGAAAGCAATCTTGTGTGAGATGTTGTATTGTTCCCAATTAAAAACTTTCTGTAATCTCATTAACCTTCACTCCATTCAATGCATTTAAAATTTTAAGAGTTTAATATATTTAAAGGAGACATATGCACTTCACTATCTCAAAAATTTTGGGAAATAACAATGATTTGAAATAAATACCCTATTTTTATGATCCAATACAATTCCTTTTGCATTAAATTGCACCAATATCCGAATTATTTATTTAGATTTAGATTTATTTAGATCATAAAGAGTTAAAAGGAATAGAATTAACTTTCTAGCTATACTTTCAGAATTCTCAAATATCAAAGATATTTTTTTAAAAAATTACAATCTAAAGCAAAACATAGACCTTGAAGAAATAAATGCTAAGTATAGATAAGATTGATTCTAATTCATTTGAAGTTGATTTTTCTTTTAAAAGGCATAATAAGAAAAAAAAAGCTTTTCAAATTACAACATGACTACTCTTAAAGCTAACTTCAATTGACAAATTACTATAAAAAGAGAAGTTATTTCAGTGTGAATGATTATCTGGCACCCCCAACTAAAATGAAGGGAGCTATCCTGACACATCATATATTCCTAGTGCTTAAATCATATTGTTTCCATATTCCCAATGATTATAAGAGAAAAATGAGGCTTTGTTTGAAAAAACAAAGCCTCCATATAGCTGTTTAGGAAGGAGCAGTTGCTTCTATTTAAATAAAACTTTCCACCTACAGACGCAGTTCCATGAATCTCATTAAATTGTAATGTTTGATTATCAATATGTTGCATCAAATGAGGCAGTGATCTATAAAACATGGTAAATTCGTAATGAAAGATGCTTATTATTGTTTTAACTGCAATTAAGCAAACCATGGCCTATGTATTACATTAGCCAAACCTATCTATTATCTTGCAAAAACCCTCTGCACATATGCCAAGCCTGAAAAAAATATAACTTTGGCCAAATCCTTCTTATATCCCCTATTTTCTTCTATAATAAATTTTTTTCTGTTAAAAAGCACAATCCAGCTTGGATGAGGACTACATTGATACGTAACTATTATTCCTTTCGGTAATATCTAGATACATACATACAAAGTAATTTAAGTTCTGAATGACTGACAGCAAACTTACTGTGGGTTTAATAAATGGATTGCTAGAAGTTCCAACCAACAAGAGTATTTATTGGATACATTCAGGCCCATAATATTGGTTGATCCCCCTGGATGGTAATAGTTATTAAGAACTTTCAAAGCAAATAGCACTCCTATATAAAAATAAAGAAAATAATCACATCAAGAGAAATTTTCAAGTAATATAAAAACTAAAGAATATGGAGGATCTATTGCTCCATTTGCATTCCATTTATTCAAAGAACATATAAATAGCTTCTATTACAGTATTTCAATACTTTATAGTGGCAAAAGTATCTAAATCTGTTTGTACTTTTAAAATATTCCAGTACTTTTTCTCAAAACTAAAAACAAAATTCCCCAAACAGTAATAATGCTACCAGTGATTTTGGGGAAAGAAAAGAGTACTCATTAGTATAAATAAATTGCAATATTGTGCTAATATACCTGGAACAAGATCAGATGTTTAAACAAATGGCTGAGAAAACCTTATAAAACCTCTCATTTTATTGAAAAGTAGCCCTATTTTAAAACTTGAGGTGAGAAAGACAGATTATTCTCATGACAATCAAGGATACAGAGCTGTTGGAACATCAAAAGCAGTCTCAGCGTTAGGGCAGAGAAGGGAACTTCAGGGCTGCAAGCCTAATCTAGTTTGTCACACACAGACAGCAGCCTAGTGAAAGCATTTAAATAACAAGCTAGTTTTCTACAAGCAAATGGATGTTGCAAAGACAGAATTCTGATACCTCTCCAATAATACCATCAGGATAGTGACAAACAGGATCAAGTTCAATTCTATTCCTAGGCCAAGGTAAAGGAGCATAGATGTCAATTTTTTATTAAGTGTTACTTTACAAATAGAACACCTCTCGGCCATAAACTATACATTACCAGGTCCCTGAGTAGCTTGATAAAATAACACAGTGAACAGCGAAAGATTTGTAAATGTCAAATCATCAATTCTTGGCATATTAAGAGTTACTTCTGACAATTCAATTTCTTATTAAAATTAGGAATATTTTTTTTAAAAAAGCTCTTTTTGGATTTAACCGTAAATCCTTGATTCAATATTTATCACTGAAAAAATATTGACACTACTTCTGAAAAGTAGCAATGTAAGTGCTAGGCGACTGGTGGTACTCGGATGTTGCCATATCCCAAAAGTGATACAATGGGTGGAAAGGTTGAAAAGCCCTGCTTTATAATATAGTTTATTTTATAAGTCTAGAAAAAAAAATGTTCCAATTACTATCTGGGATTGTTATTTTTATATCCTTATTAATTTTTAAAGTCTCATCCATTTTTTTAAGTATCTGATGACAAATTCTTATTCAAAGTCTCGTTGATATTCTCGGATAAATTTTGTGGCGTATCTCTTTTTGTAATATCCTTTTCTGGGAGCAGACTATTCCCAAGACACAACAAAGCTGACATAATTCATTCAAATGCCAGTGCAATTCCTCAAAGATATCTCTGGATGCCATTGTAAATTACTTGTCTTGCAATGTCTCCAATATGAAAAAGGTGTTCTTTCCCACAAGAATATATTTATTCTTTAAGTTTAATTTTAAAACACTATTATTCAGAATCCAATATTCCAAAATTTTCTAAGCCCTTAATCCAGTGGTTCTCAACCTGTGGGCCGGGACCCCATTTGGGGTCGAACGACCATTTCACAGGGGTCGCCAAACAACGCAGTCCGCCATTTTTTCCCCCTTTTCCTTAGCTATGCTACTCCCTTTTATTCTATTGGCTTTTGAAAGCCAATAGAATAGACTCTCTTGAATAGAGTCTAATTCTATTGGCTTTCAAAAGCCAATAGGAATTGTCCAGGCTGCCTCTGCCTTGCTGAGCCCGCCAAAAATCCCATTCTGCAAACGGTGCTGCACCAGTTGAGTAGTCCTCGACTTACGACCGGTTGGGGGGGTCGCAGCATTAAAAAGGTTGAGAACCACTGCCTTAATCTGTTTAAAACTTTCTGTAGCCAAAATCCTGTCTTGCTTTTTGCTATTTAAATTTTTTAAAGATTGGAAAAATCTTTATTTTGTTGTATTAAGGCTTGAAGACACTACACATTTCCAAAAATGGTTAGCAAGGAAAATGTCCATTAAAAAGGCTTCATGTAAGGCTGGAGCAATTAAAGCAAATTCCTGTGTCCTGATTCACCCTCCCTACAGGGTCCTCTCTTTATTCAGAGAGAGTTGAAGCAGCTGATCTACTGGTCAGCTCCCTATTTTATAGCTGTAAATGTTAGTTCCACTCTTCATGGAACCATCTTCAGTCTGCCATATTCCCTGGCAGATATTTATCTTTTAGTTTCCTTTGTGAGAGGCTTCTAGAAAAATGTAGCAGTGACAAAGTTGTGTTTATTGTTATCATTCAAGAACATGTTAATTTCACATTCCCTAAATATATATTATCTATTTCCTAACAGCTAGCATTTGCAATAAATGTTATAAAAAAGGGGGAGGGAAGCATAATAAAGAAGAGCGCCTTACCAGAAAAGCCAACAGCACAATGATGTTCATATGAAGGATTGCCAAGAAGTTCCGCCAGTACAGCTTCCAGAAATATGTATACAGCTCCCACAAGTAGTGAAAACAGTGCAATTATATATCCAAACCACATAGATCCAAGCCTGCTCTCCAATTTAATTCCTTTCCAAAGCAAGGAGACCATATTAAAATACAGATGCCAGTCATCTGCATGGTGAAATGCTGAAAGATACAAACGATGCCAATCTTTTTTGTAAAGACAATAATTGACACTAATGCATGCTTTGTCCAGAGGTTTCAGGGGTTGTAGAAAAAAGAAAATGTTCACTGCCAAAGTTCCAAGTGTGACAGGTGGAATATTGTGAAACCCAACTTGGTAGAGCTGAGAAAGGAGGAAAAGCACTCCAGTATTTAATCCTTTGTGCCTTCGTTGCATAGTTTCTTTTTTGAACTCAGTTTATACTAAAACTTGAGTACAGGAGAAATCCAGACTGATTCTGAAAAATAGAGACATGTTTGCAATTACCATATTAATAAGAAATCATTCCGTATTGCTTATAATTATTTTCTTTACACAAGGAAAAATGGAACATATGTTATACAGATATAAGGAGAATGAACAGGTGAGAAGATAGAAGTAGAAATAATCTCACTGAAAATTTACTTCCTATATGCTGCTCTACTACTTTTAAAGGGATCGGGGTGGGGGGAGATGCCATTTAAGTAATATTTTCTTCCAGAAAAAGTGTTGCTCAGTTTCTAATATTTTATTGATTTTCTAATTTTACATTTAAGTATTTAAAAAGCAACGTGGCGGCTGGGTTAATCAATAATTCAATAACATACAAAAATATTTAGTACAAATCTCAAACTACCACATCAAATATTTCCTCTCCTTTTCCCTTAATATCTACTGTCTCATATTTAAACTAATACAATTCTTATTATATCCATTAAGTAAAGATAGCATTGTTACATTTATCAATAATTTTTTAGCTTATACATATCCTAGTTAATTTAACATTCAACTTTATAAACAGTCAATGTCTTGTAGTTAGTTTTTCCCAATTTTTAGTTTCCCGTCAATATTTAAATGTAACATTTGATATTTATAATTTCCAATTTTTTGGTAACCAAAGTTTCCTTTATCACAATTCTTAACAAAGTCTAATATTCAAAATATACATCTTATCTATTTGAGTGTATTCTATTTTCCACCATCTTACATCACCTAATTAATAATACAATATAACATTTCTTATTTTCAACTAGTTTCCAAATGTCTTAAATTTAATTACCAAAATTTCCCCTATTTCAACATCAAATATTTCACCTTTTTGTCTTGGTATCTACTATCTCATATTTAAGCTAATACAGTTATTATCTCAATTAAATAAAAACATATTTATTACATTTATCAATACATTTTTAGCTTATTACATATCTTAATTACTTTTACATTCAATCTTTATAAACAATCAATATCCTATTTGTTTTCCCCAATTTTTAATTTCCCATCAGTATTCAAATTCAACTTTTAGTGTTCATACTTCCAAATTTTAAATGATCAAAGTTTTCTTTATCTCAATTCATAACAAAATCTGGTATTCAAAGTGCACATCTTGTCTATTTAAGTATATTCTATTTTAATTAGTAATATAAAATCCTCGCTGATAAATCAAAACCCCAATTTTCTTCAGCCTTATTCTAGCTTTCTTCCTTTGCCATCTTGCCCTCCATGTCAATGCTTTTAGGTCATCTAATAGATCTCACTGTTATTATATATATATTATTTGAAATAAAAGAGACCATCCAGTCACCATTTTTTTTGGAAGGGCTAATAAATTGTCTATTATTCCAGATCCCCATAATTGTCCTGGTATGTTTATCTTCCCTTCGGTCTGTTCTTCTTCTTGCTCCTCAAGTTTCTTCTGATTTATATAAAAAGCCTTTTTCCATTTTCAATGTTGTCAGTCCCTTTTCTGGACTTTCCATTGACAGTATTTGTTGGTTAGTTGAATCCTCTGTCATAGTATTTAATTGTTCCACTTCTTCTGTTATGTTTTGTGTAGTTGATTTTTTAGATGTAGTCAAAATTTGAGTTCGTATATCTAGGCTGACATCTTGTTCTTTTCTGTAGCATCTTATTTCATCACAAGCTGAAAGAATGGTTTCATGTATTGCTTTTAATATAAGGAAAATCTGTTCCTGGCCTTCATCCATATTCTCTTAGTAGTGTGTTAAATTAACAGCTTTAAAGTCAGAGAATGAAAATAATTTTATAACTGAGTATAGAACATAGCTGAGCTTCTCACAGCTGATAGTTGTCAAGGTTGAAAAAGTCTTATCTAGTCTGAGCTTCCAACCAAGTCTCCTTTAGACAATAACAAGTTGTAATATTAAACTTAGTCACAAGATGTCACCAATGCCATTTAAGGTTTTTTAAGTCCAAAATTTTTATAATCCTTTTTCCAATTTTATTTCTTTTTTGTAAATAAAAACCAAGGTCTTTGATAAGGATAAGAAATCTTTTGGTCCCTAAATTCTAGAAGCATATAAATCCAGTTAGATTAAGGTTATTCTTTCAGTGTTTAACGCCCCTGGATAGTCAGTTGCCGCTATTCTTAGAGGGTGGGATAAAAGTTCCCTTCTCTCCTCTCCCGGGGGGGGAGTGTAAGGGTTACTGCCCTCCCACGATGAAGCAGGGATCCTCTCCTTGCTGGTTGCCCCTACAGTGCAACTTTCGACCCTTTCCAGGGTCCCCCAGCAGTGCAAAATCGAACACAGAAGATGGAGCTTGCCTTCCAGCGTCTGCGGCAGCTGTGATGGCAAACCGAAAGTCTAATATTTATACATTTTCTAAAACTTATGGCCAATTTATCTATGGATTAAATTTGCATGGAGATAATTTTGATTGTTCTTCCATCAGGTCCCGATATCACTGCTTTGTTGCTTAAAACACATGGTGGAGGGAGGAATTATTTGAAGCAGGATGGTAAGGGCTATTATCATTTTTCCATTCAAAATTCAGCACTAGACCATCTTTACAATTCTATGCATACAGAATTAAAGCTAAATCTAAATTTTCAATGGGATTTGGTCTGAAATAAGTATGTGTAATATATGTCCAAGGAAAGATTGAAAATGTAGGCAGATTGGGAAGAATGAAGCAGCTGGAAAAAATAATTTCTGGTAAAGAATTTGAGAGGAAAGTAGGGTTTTTTCCCAAGTTTTTACTCCACATTTCTACAAAAGGTTATTTTACCTGCTTTTAACAAAATGTAAAGTGGAGAAAATTATTCTGAATATTTTCATAAATAGATTGTCAATATTTTCAACTGTTTAAAACTTTCCTCCAATCTCTTTGCTTATTAAAGTATTAATGAAATTGTAGACAATGCAGAATGTTTCCTCCAATGATTTCTAAAACATACCAGTTTTCAAAATGTACGTGCTCGTAGATTAATTTTGAAATGGATATTTGCCTTTCAGTATAAGACAATTACATACTTACATTTTCTCACCTATAAAGATAAATGTCTGTGACTACAGATTCTAAGAATGTTTGTCCTGAAAATATTGAAAGGATGTTTACAACAAATAACAGTGTACTGTTTCTTTAATTTGCAATGTTATGCAGCTTTTAATTTCTTAAATCACATATATCATCATTGTTTGGGGCGGGAGAGGTGTCCATGATTAAGTCATGCAACTGATATAGAATAAGGCTGTACTTGCCAGGGTCATAATCCACCTATTATACCATCATTTCTTGTGAGATGGGCAGCTATATAAATTTGATTAATAAATTGAATTATGTCCACATACTTGTTATTTGTCTTCAGCCTAAAAAGTGCCTCCATGAAGCATTAAAAAAATTCAAAATAGCTTAATATAGTAATACACATAATAAAATTGCACAACAAAAATAAACACCAAGTGTAAGATTTAATTAAAAAGGCTTTATCTTCTAAAGGTTTCATGGGAGTTAGTCAGGTGCACTTTTTGGGAACTTTGAAGTAAGAATAGAATGCAGAGAGAACTTGAAGTACTAGCAAACTCATTCCTTTTTCTACAAACAAGTTAAATTAGACATTTATCCCACCTGTGTTATTTTTTTAAGTAACTCAAAGTGGCAAACATATGTATTAGTTCTTCCTCCTCTATTTTCCCCACAACAACACCCCTGTGAGGTGGGTTGGACTGAGAGAGAGTGACTGGCTCAAAGTCACCCAACTGGCTTTTATGCCTAAGGCAGGACTAGAACTTGGTTTCCCGATTTCAAGGCTAGCACCTTATTACCTCTTAACTATCTTATTCAATGATCATAAGGTGACATATTTCCAACAAATTCTTGAGCTAATCAAGAATATACATGAACATTAACTTAGAGAAAAAAATAATTATGAATCTAATTTTATTCAAGTTGAGAAATATTTTACCTAATCAATTAGATATTAGTGACAACACATGGGCTGCAGTTAATACCAAGTTCTGCAAAAATTAAGAGTAAGTTTAATTATTAAAATAGCAAAATTTTATACACATAAAATTTCTATTATGTTTAGTGCATCACCAAGTAAATGGGAAAAAGGATTAATCAAGCACAGCAATCCTAAATGGAAATCGTGAGTGCTTCCTTCAACTACACACAAGAAATACAGAAGTAGGAAAGGACAACACACTTTCCCTTAAAAAAAAAAAAGTCCTTGTACTGTATGTAATTAATTTTGGGAGATTTAGAATCCTCTCCCTCCATCTAATCACCTTTGCTGGCTGAGGAATTCTGGGAGTTGAAGTCCACAAGTCTTAAAGTTGCCAAGGTTGAGAACCCCTGAATGTGACATACTCTTTCTCTTATCAAGGCAGGTGGGGCTTTCTTGAGTTTCTGTTGTAGCAAGAGAGGGAAGAATCTAACGTCAGACTCTTTCGTCTGAAGCCAGAGGCATGTCTCCAACCTTGGAACAAACTGAGCAAATTTATAGCCTAGCAAACTATCCCACAAGTCCTTTCTTGCTCAAAACAGGTTACTCTGACCTCAGCAGAAGCAATCTGATGTTATCCCAAACTGAAAAACAAGATCTATGCAATGTTTAAACCTTCAATGCTTTAGATCCAATGTGAACACATTTGCTTTGATAGACACAGCGATGAGATTCAAACAGTTTGTAGGCTTATTTAATGTGCACAGCATATTATTAAATATTAAAGTTCTATACATGCAGCAATGTAATTTGATTTAAAGCACAAAACATGTATATTAAGTCTAAAAATTATACTCATGTACTGAAGCTATGTAATCATCACTGCAGAAACTCTTCCCCCATACACTCACTCACAAGTATCCAAACTAACATTCCACCTGCCTGTTATAACTGAGCCATGCCCAGTCGTTTTGATGGATGTGCTGATGTCCAGAGGCAGTCTAATCCCACTCAGGCTCTTAGCTTAGAAAAGCAAATGCTAATGACAAAGTGAGGTATGTGCAGCAGGAAAGGTGATAGCAAACAGCATACAGCGAAGCAAGTTGGAGTGTTGCCTGGAGATTGGTAGCATGAAAGAATCAGAGGCAAGAGAACTACTGTATTATTCCACTGACAGGACCATAACCTATGGTGAGCAGCATATTCTGGTGGGAATCCTGCCTTGAGTTTGGAGCTTTGCCTGGAGCTCATTAGCAACAGAAAGTGAGCAATCACACTGAAATAGCATCCTATCCCAATTAATTCAAGAACTTTTGGAAAAAGGCAAAGATTGCACACTACTTGGTAGGCTGAGACTTTTACTTCATCTGAGTATTAAAAGACTGAATATTAAAGACATAACTACTAGAAGGGTGGAGTTGACCCAGAACAACAGACTGTTGTTGGGAAGGAGTGTTTTGCAATAAAGCATTGTGTACAGTTTTGCTATGCTGCAGTGTGCCCAGTCCTTGGAAAGCAAAGAACTACAAGTCCTTTCTTACTATTTGTTTAGCAACCATTAGAAGTTATGACAGCAGTGAAAATGACTCACGACAGGTCTTCACACTTACAATTATTGCAGCATACCCAGTGTCACATAAACACAATACAGGAGCTTGGCAACTGGCTTGCATTTATGATAGTTGCAGCATCCTGCAGTCCTGCGTCATTTGTGACCTTCCCAGCGAACTTCCAACGAGCAAAGTTGTGGTCACATGACGTCTAACTTAAGAACTGCAAGTGAATCATTTAACGGAGGCAAAAAGTTCATAAAATTGGGTGCAGTCATGTGATACTTCACTTAACAACTGAACCACTTAATGACAAATTTTCAGGTCCTATCATGGTCTTAAATCAAGGACTATTAAGTACAACGTTCAGTCTTAGGTGGCTTACAACTTCAGGATCATTCATAATCCTAAAAACATTTTCATAAATTGCTTCAGAAAAGCATACTTCATTGACATAACTAAGAAGTAAAAAAGCAATGAAGTTATAAAGTTGGAAGAAGTGATTTAGGCTATCACAGCTTTCTATTCCATGCAAGAAATCAAATTAAAACTGTTGCAATGGAGCCAATCACCTCTTTGGAGACTGATCTTACTCTGAAACTGCTTATGCTGTTAGTAAACCTCTTCTAATCTAGCTTCCTCTAATTTAAATCCATTATTCATGTCTGAAATGACAAAGAACATGTCTTGGATTTTTGAATGAATTTGATTGATTACTACAAATGAAATAATAATTTCTGAGGCAGGGCTATGTAAAATTAAGAATATTTCATTACTGATATAACTATAATAAACGCAAAAGGCATTACATCTCAAATTTGTCATGGTCCTATTTCTCCCCTAAAAATCTCTCAAGCCCCTTACAATGGAAAAAATACATTTTTCCAGAGGCTACAAAGAATATTTTAAAAGGCTTGCAAGTTTTTCACCCTTGATTTAAAGCCCCTTATGATTTGTGATATGAGCTAGATTTCACCATAGCATTCCCCCACTTTTTCACTATTTTTCATCAATCATAGGTTAGCACTATATAACAGAAAACTGTTTATTCTTAATTTTTATTCCTTGAACCATATCAATTTTGTAACCCTTGTTTTGCAATTGACATGTCTTTAATAAACCAGTTAAAATTATTCTAATTTTATTGTATTTGGATAAAATAGGAATTATCAAAAAATAAAACAAAGCATCTAGATCAGTGGTTCTCAACCTTTCTAATGCCGCGACCCCATAATACAGTTCCCCATGTTGTGGTGACCCCCCCAACCACTTATATATCACCGGGTGCCAGGGGCGTGGCCAAAGGGGAAAAAATGGCAGACAGCCTTGTTTGGCGACCCCCGTGAAATGGTTGTTCGACCCCAAATGGGGTCCCGACCCACAGGTTGAGAACCATTGATCTAGATTATTTACAACCCTAAAATGTTCTTATTTACTTATTGTATATTAATTCAGCGTACATTTCTTCTGTTCATAATGGTGACATATTCAAAAGTGTTTTGCTGATTCAAGGAACTTAACTGGAAATAAGAGAATATGACCAAAAAAACCATCCACCATTTAAAAATATGTTACAATTGTACTAGAGTAATAAAACATGCAAATATGTAACTTTAGTACAATAATTTAGACTAGAAATATCAAATTATAATTAACGTTCCATAAGGGAACTCTGGGAAATAAATAGCTAGAAGATGAAAGAACATTAAAGTGTGTACTGCCCAGATTTACTATCATCATTTTGGAAATATACCGCGTAAAAGCCTTTGCAAAAATACTACTGAACAAGGTATGCTAGGGACCATTAAGGAATTCTTTTATGATTTATGGAAGAAAATAAATCAATCTTTTGTAGTATCACAAATTCCATTAAAGATGAAAAGAGGGCCAAACCCAAATATAAGATGTAGTAAGATCTCTCTTTCCTTTGTTTCAATTGAAAGGTATTGTGTTGAGGTGAAAACTTATGTAATTAAGTAGCAACCGAAGTGTTTAATTTCTATTCCCATTTAATTTCCTATTTTCACACTTCAAATTATTAAAAAATATCTTTTCTTCAATATTTCTTATTGAATTTAACAATCTGCTAAACATAACAAAAGATGCAAATTTAAAATAAGTCTAAGCAACTATGCTATGGCTATGAAATAAAACAAAGGTCAGTAGTACTGAATCTGCTATTTCAACAAAATTCAGAATCCAAAGCAGTACTAAACAGACTTTTCCTATTTAACCAAATTTTGCGGAAATTTGGAAGATAAAAGAAGTAGAACTCTTTAATATTTTAATAACTATTAAATCATTTAATACAATAACTAATTATTTCAAGTGTTTATGAGCCATCACTCTCCCGTGGTTAGAAAGTTGTAAATATTAATAAACAAAAAACAAGCTTGAGGCCCTTCAAATGCATTAGATACTAACTCACCTGGAGGGCACAAAGAAAGAGGGAAGCGGGAAGATCAGTAGGAGAACACAGTGACCTGCAATAATTGAATTATAAGAAACTGCAATAATCTTAGATTTCATGGTTTGGGGGCGATAGAATAATGAGACTCTCAACAAGAATCGTGAATCGAAGATTAGAACACTGGCTCCTCCCCATTCCGTTTTACAGCCTTAGGAACCGATTTACTCAAAAGTTACAACGCAGAGGTGGTCCGTCCTGCCCAAACTCCTTTCCTTGGAGAGTCACTTTCCCGTTTGGAGGAGGAAGAAGGGATGAGGAAGATCCCATTCCTCGCCCCAAAAAGCGTCACCACTCCTTCTACCGGAAATAGAAAACGATCCTCCTCTAGACACTCCCACAGAGATCCGCCACAGACCCAACTTACGTGCAACCCTGGCGTTGCGTGCGCCGGAGACACCCATGTGATCCACTCACGGCTCAATCAGAAGCAACAGCGATCCGTGTGTGATGAATCAACCTCCGGAACGACGCATGCGCCACGTCAAAATGTGCTCTCCCTACCCCTCATGTCGCGGGTTGTGACATAGTTTATCCGCTTTCTTTCCTGTAAAAAATTAAAATTGATTCAGAGCTTACTTCCAGAATTTGTTTACTTGTACCTTACTTTAATTCAGATTGACTTTATTTTAAGCACTCTTATGTTTTTTTTTATTTGAGCGGTAATTACTGGGGTAACTTTCCCATGCTCTGCACCGTTGAACTGGCGCCACAGAGCTGTCTCCTGCGCAAGGCGAGAGGATAGAGACCTGCAGCCGCGGATCGGCAGCTTAGGGTGGCTACGTCCTCACTTCAGTGGATGTGGAGGATCAGTCTCATGGTGGGGGCAAGGGAGAAAGCGTTGCCTCTGACTGTTCTTCCGGCCAGCGTTATACAATGTGTTGGGGTTGGGAGTACCTGCCCCTTATTTACTCCGTAATGCGGCGGTGGGAATTGAGAGAGAGTAGTGCCTATCTGGAGACTTGCAACAGCGTGTTGGATAAGAGATTATTGCGGTGGATTCTGACAGTCACTCATTTGTGCTGTCCCGTCCTGGAAATCTTTGCAAGAAGATTTGGTTTCTCAGGGCCATCCAAAGAACCGAGCAAGCAAGAGGAGTTGGAGGCGGCTGTCCGCTGATCTGCCCTCTCATAGGGGAAAATATGGGTTTGGATGCGCAGCTAAGAGAAAGAAGTGCTTCTGATATTAGAAGTTTAGGTGGTAAAATTGTCCAATTCTATTTTAATTGCTGTATCAAGCTAATGTATTTACGAAATTATTGCTAAAAGAATAGGAAATTGATGCAGAAGAAAGCTTTGCAGAGCCCATCCCTTGTAGAGATAGGGAAAACCTATTGATTTAATGGTGAAATGCCTCTTTTTGTATTTGTGACTGACAAGGATTTTGCATTTACTTTCCAGCAGAAGGTTTAGATCAACACAAAAAGTTGAGGCAGGAGTATTTTCCTTTCATAAAAGAATATATAGTTCCACATTAGCACATTTATACTTCTAATCTCTCAAAGCCATTTGCGAAGTCTTCACTTCTGCTGATTTAAAAATGCTGTGAGGAGCAAAGAACTTAATAACTACCTCAATTGGCTGTAGCTGTCATGGTTCTGACAGATTAATCTCTTTGAAAGAACTTCAAGGCATTGTTTTCCTTAAAGAATCTTTAATTCGAGAACAAAGTATTGGCACTACATAGTTGAAGCCAAAAACTGAATTCCCCTACCCCGCATCAACCAACTCTAAAAGTGATAGAGAAAAAAATGGCTACATTTCCATCTGTTGTCAAAGCAAGAATATCCGATGTTAGCAGCATTGACATTCAGCCCCCCTTATAAAAAGGACAAATCCTGTAATGTAAACAAAAGCCTCTTGGTTTGTTAGGGTGTTTCTTATAGAACCTATTAATGAGTTTTACATCACTAGATTTCACCCAGGTGGCCTCAGACAACAGATATCCCTTCCATTGCACTAAGTACTGCAATTTCCCTTTAAAAATTCTTGAATCCTGAATAAGCTTTACTTCATAGTGACTCTGTCCTGCCACTACGAGGGGTCCGGGTGCCTTCTTAGGGGGAGGTCTTAAGGTGGAACTCCAAAAAGGTTTCAACAGGCTACAATGGAAAACGGTGAACTTTTTCTAAGAGCCTAGGAAGTTTTAATTCCGCCGTGACTGGGTTAATGATCTTTACAATGAGGAAGGGTCCTAAGTACTTTGGTCCTAACTTCTTACTAGGTAACTTAAGCCGTAAATAGTTGACAGATAAACCTTTTCCCCAACTTGGAATGTTCTTTGAGGAGCCCTTTTTTATCTGCCTGTCTTTTGTATATCTCAGGAGCCTTTTTCAAAACAGTTTTTGTGGTTTTCCAGACTTCCTCCCATCCTCTCACCAATTGATCAAGAGTCTGGGAAGCAGACTCCGGACATAGTTTTCCATGTCCCATTTCAATCCCGGCCACCAGAATTGACGGCGGATGAGATGTAGTGTTTTTAAATATCCAAAGTGCCCAGCCTGTTTTATGTCATGGCCATGTTGGAGCGTGTTAAGGCAGAGATCTCTGGCAAATATAGCTTTCCCCCCTTGTAAGCCAAACCATCCCTGCATGTTAGGGAGGTTTGATTGTCCTTGAACCATTGGTCAGTGAGGAGCTCTTGTTTTAGTTTCTTTGCCCCAGAGTCATTGGGGTTAGGGGCTCTTGAAGGTGGGACTCTGTGCGGTGGTGTGAGTTGAGAAGCAGTTTGTGGATTGCAGATAATTGCCTCATTAATCTCTTCACTCTGGCTTTTGTACTGGGGCAATCTGGATAGATCATCAGCTAAGAAGTTTTTTCCTCCTGGTATGTACTTTAGGGTGAAATTAAAATGGTTAAAGTACTGCGCCCATCGTACTTGTTTCGGGGACAATTTGCGGGGAGTTTTTAGTGCTTCTAGGTTTTTGTGATCAGTCCATACCTCGAAAGGGATCTTGCTCCCTTCTAGATAGTGTCACCAGTTTAGTAGAGCCCAACAGATTACAAAGGCTTCCTTTTCCCATACAGCCCACCTCCTCTCACACTCAGTGATTTTTTTCGAGGTATAGGTGCAGGATTTTAGGGTCCCATTCTGGTTCTTTTGCAGTAGTACAGCTCCGACGGCCACATCACTGGCATCGACTTGAATCACAAAGGACTTTCCTGGGCAAGGATGCTTTAAGACCGGTTCGACCACAAATAGTCTTTTTAAATTCTCAAAAGCAGTCCATGCGAATGGTTGGCCTGGACGCAGCTTTCCTCCCTCTTTGCCTGTTTTTAGTAATTCTGTAAGGGGTAGGGCAATTTCAGCAAATGAGGGAATTCAAGCCATTCAATTACGGCTTTCACTTTGTTCAGGTCCATTTCAATGCCCTCGCTGGAAATTCTGTAGCCAAGATAATCTAGTCGGATCTGGTGAAACTCACACTTTGATAGTTTAACATAAAGTTTGGTGTTCAACAGTTTCTTTAGCACTTCTCTCACTAGTTTTACATGGTCGGCCATATTTGTGCTGTATATCAGGATGTCATCAAGATGCTAAATAGAAATGTTTCAAATCATCTAATTAACTACTTATTATAGTTGGAAACCTCTTGCTGCTCCAAATGGGCTATCTACTTGGATTGTCTACTAAAATCAGAAACCTGAAGCATGGGACAAATTGATTAGATTTACAGTTATGTTTGAGAAATCACTGAGGTTGGGTTGAGTTCTCTAGGGATTTGGAGAAGGACAAATGTTCCTATTATTAAAAAAGAAAAAAAAACAGATACAAATCAAATACAAAAAGACCATTAAGCTTAATTTAATATTGATACTGGGCTAAACTTGGAACAGATTAATATTCTGTTAAGTGGTTGGTTTTGAGCAATTAGAAAAGAATTCATTGCAAGTTCATTGGCAAGACCCAGTATGAATTTATCAAGAATAAATTAGAAACCCTAATATTTTTTCACTTAAGAATGTCACTCACTGTAATGTAGTTTACATAGTGTGCCCTTGAAGACTACACAGCTGGTTTGGGATACAGTAGCTTACTACATTATGTGACACCATCACTCTGGCAGCTGCACTGTTTATCATCAGTTGGCTTCTGGATGCAATCAGTTATTACTTATAAAGCCCTTTATGCTGTAGAGCTTAATTGTTTGAAGAACTGTCTCCAATAGCTTCTGCTTATCATGTGAAATTGGGAATAGTGGGCACATTCCTAGTTTCTTCAATTAAAAAATATCATTTTGTGGAATCTAGAAAAAGCGTCTTTTGTTGTTCCAGTCATCTGGAACAACATTTTCCCCAGAGATTTATATGGCTCCCACACTGATGATGTTCAGAAGATCACTGAAAATAGGGTTATTCTCCCAGGCTTTGGAGCAGGGTGGGTGTGTCATTTTTGGTTATGGATTGTTTGTCTGGATATCTGTGGCTTTTGCTTTTTTTATTCTTGCTTTTAAAATTATAAGCTGCTCAGAATCTTGTGGAAGTGGATAGCCTCTAATTGTAAAATTAAATTTATCATGTATTTGGGTAGGAAAAATTAAAGAGATGAATGTAGACTTGGACAGCAGTATGTACATTAAAAAATCTAGACTTCCGGTTCTGGATCGTGGCGTGTTTTAGTCTGATGGAGAGGTTTGTCTCTTCGCCGGCTGCTTTCCTTCCACCGGTAGACCCCTAATCGGGTCGAAAAGTTGCCCTGGAGGGGCAACTACAGTCGAGGAGGCTCCTGTTTGGCTGAGGAGGGGCAGCAGCTCCCTCCGCAGTCCAAGCTAGCTCTGTAGGGCTGATGGAGAAGAAGATCGGCCAGTAAAATGGCTGATCAATCAGCCGCACCAGCCGAAAGTCAGAAGATCATCTAAGCATAAAGAACCACCATGGTGAATCCGGGTGAGACCTTTCCTTCCTCTCTTTTGTCCTGACTACTTTCCTGTAAAAAGCTTTTGACTACTTCCCTGTTCTAAGAAAGCAGAGTCTGTTTACTTGGGAAAAAGAGCTTAAAAGAAATAAATTAGCTAACTTTTTATTGACTATTTAATCTTTTTGGGATACTTAGGGGTCCTGAAAAAAAAAAGAAACATTATTATTATTCTATTTATTATGTTGGAGATACCTGTTTTTTTCTCTTTCTAGTTGTCTAAAGAGATAAAATTTTACCAATTTGGAAAAAAAGATTTTACAGTCCACTGAGGACATCTTGTGGTGAAAAGTGTGATTGCAATTGTATTTCCTTTTGCTATTTGAAGATGGATTTGACCTTCAAATGATAACAAAAGGGAAAAGATAAAGGATTTGGAACAGCTGGGTGGTGAATTTGCTTACTAGAATTTTGGAGGTGGATATT